TAAACGTGCTTGTACACATGTGATCACCTCGCGGGGATGCTGAGAGGAGATTTACATCGCGCTAATTCCGTATACCTAACGCCAGTAACTCTGCGATAGCTCAGAAATTGAATTACAGAAACTAAGTTTTCAAGCTCTATCACTTCTTTATTTCTTTTAATCGTATAGTTGTTTTATTCCATTTTTATTCGTCTATAAACACGATAATTTGTGTTTAGATCTGTTCGATAACATATATCTCTGACTATCCTCATCCCCGGATTGATATTTTAGATCAAGCGTGCTGAGATATATAATATGAATTTGGCACGTTCAGTCGCGCGCTAAATGTAAGCTGATACATGGCATGACAGAGAACTTGAAATGAGTTTATATGCAATGCGTCTAGTGGTGGTTTAATTGATGATTGCGGAAGATTCGTCGTTATACAACGTTAAAGATATAGCTCGAGTTTCGTACACTGAATAAAAAAAACCATCGAATCTAAGTCACCTTATCTTACAAAATTGCTAATAATTACACGGCACTTTTATTAACAATATACATTCTTCTTTGCATAATAACGTTCTTCATTCATAGCTGCTACTTCTGATTATAAGCGAACATTTAATTTTTTCTTTTTAACTACCTTAGGTGATATTATAGAAGGTACATATATGCCAATATATACTAAGTAGCAGGTCCAATAAAAAGAAGGAAGTATCTCATCTAGTATTCATCCCATAGGGACTCACCTATTCTACGATGAATCTGTCCATCGGTAAAATTTGCATTCCCAAAAAAGCAAAGAGGGATCTGCCCTGGAGCGACAAAACTGGTGGCAAGATCGTTGGTACATCTCATCTGATGTTTTCAAGGGCAGCTATAGGACACGCAACTCTCATATTCAGATGAATTTTTAAAATTTAGCAAAATGCAAATAGCACGTGCTGATCTTCGTGGGCAAATATAATTGAAGCTAATCAAATGTATGTGCGATGCATTTGTGTTTCTCTCAATCACATTATGAGCTCGTACACACGCACGAGATATAATTGCTTTTTGAGTAAGAGTTTTTAGAGCGAGGAACTTGAAAAGAAGGCGTGCATATTCGCACTTAGAGACGGAATTCTCTCCGTAACGCGGCGCAGCAGCAACGATTTGCTACAGGCGTGCGCAGTGAAAGGCGCTTACAGCCGTCAGCGCTTGCGCCGCAAAATGAACGCCCTTTCGGAGGTGCAGCCCTGCACATGCGTACGTATACACGCACGCAGATGGCTAGCAGCTAGCAGGAGCGAAACGAAAGCAAAAGTTGGCGTAATGTCTGTAATATTCATGACGACTCACTTCCCTCCTGTGCGTGCGTCCGCGCATGTATGTACGCGAAATCAGCTGCATGCGTATGCGCGTAAGAGTAGGATATAGCAGCAGCGCAGAAGAAAAGGAACAAGGAGGTGCAATGATACGGGCAAATTAAGAGAAAGTTAATGAGTATCGAAGGAGGGAGGCTAAATGAAGCGCGTACAACTCTGATAATTTCATGAATTCGACGAAGAGCAAGCTTTTCCATAGCGAGCGCACACAGCTCCGACACGTCGCGTCGGCAAAGCAGCCTCGACCTTCTTTTACGACTGCCCGCCAATTTCGCTCTGCTCGAAATTATTGTGCCGCTGCTACCGGCCTCACCGGCCTCTTGGAATTATACAACTAAATGTCTTTTGCCCGAGCATATACTTTTTAACCAGGGACGGTTACTATGAATGGACGACATGGAGAGCTTAGGCATGCGTGAAAATATCAGCGTACACGCAGCCTGGAAAAATAGTATTTCAATTTTTAACGAGTCACATTCGTGGCATCGGCCTTTGTCCTCCTCCTCAATGGAAAAAAGAAACAAGGCGCGTGGACAAGTATGTGTAAAATGATCACGTGTCACGCACAAAAGCACAATCTCGTACAATCGCGAACCGTACCGTGTATTATATATAGTCGCTAGCTCAGGCCACGCCGGCAATATCATGGTCAAGGATTCCATTCGTCGCTCTCTCACTCTTTGCGAGCAAGAATAACCTTGCTCCCTCTCTTTCTCGCTTCGGCTCGCGTGCGCGCGTGCAACGACTCGGCTGCATGCTACATATCATACGTGATGCAAGTATACGAGCGTTTTTCTAATAGACCTACATGCCTGCTGCGTCGCTCTTCATGTTATTTTCCATCGTCGTTTACGCATGAAATTAGGTGACGATTATCACATTATGTTACATGCGACTGCACTTGGATATTCTTAGACTGGCGGTAACGTTTATATGGTCGGTAAATGTATCGGTCGATAATAAAAGTGGGCTAACGTCCTTCCAAATTTATCTTATTCTTTAATTAGAATAAAACAACTAGTATCGTTGGTGCGTCAATTTATCAGATAATTGTCATATAAATATCGCGAAATAGACAATCAACTTGATTTGTCTGCGCAAGTCTGATAACACGAATTCTTAGAAATGAAAAATTGTATGATTCTGAATCAATCAAGTTATGAATTGATGAAATAGGTAAATTTAATGGAATAACTTGGCGGTGTATGGAACATGTACGTGTTTGAAAAGAAAGCTCTTCACTCCACGCTTCGTAATACCTGACGACTCAGTTAAACTTCACAGGTGTTAATAATTAATGTGTTTTTCTACGGCAGCTCAGAGATATACTGCAACTTTCAATTTATGCGACTGGCATAATGTTTCTATTATCCGCGTGTATTCATTTCACTGCTATACCTATTTGCCTTATAAGTGTTGCCACGCGTGAAATGTTGATAACGTTGTAACCTGTTTTCAAAAAATAAAAAAAATAACAATTTTTTCGTTCTGAACTTGGTGGTATGTGTAGTTTGTGTTCTTTTACTATTGAGACTGCGCGAAATAAGACGAGCAAATAGAATTATAATTACGAGTAGATTGATTTGAATCTTTGGCTTATTGTCTATATATATATATATATATATATGTGTGTGTGTGTGTGTGTGTGTGTGTGTGTGTGTGTGTGTGTGTGTGTGTGTGTATATACGGGTTGCGGTTTTCTGTTTCTCATGCGACAACATAGGTATCTGGTTTTGCAAAAGAATGCAAGGAAATCGATAAGATACAGTGTGCTAGGAGACATCAACTTATACGCGCAGCTCTACATTGTAACGAAAGAATCATATTGAGGCAGACATAGCTAACTAGTTATATAATCAGCTGAGCGCATGTGACGATGACGATTACTTGACTACATAGTCACACGAGGAAGCACGTGCCCGTGGGACCGTGCGGCGACTATAAAATAGTTTAATGAAAAAACGCAAAGCAACAAGCTTGATTAGTAATGTCGGTATCTTACGATCCTATCGCCATTGCAAAGATTGCATGTTATAATTGTACCGTCATACTTAGATAGATATTGTTTTTATTATTTTCAAGGTTTTTTTTTCATTTTTTTATCACGTTCTATTTTAATACTACGTCTACATTTGATTTTTATAATAGCCTAATAACCCAAAATATTTAAAGATTTTTCTAATTAGAATAATGATAAGTTTTGTAATATATACTACAGCTAATTTAAATAACAGTCTCTGAAGAAAAAAGTTAAAGATGTTTTTAAATATTTATTTTGTACAATGTTCATCGATAAATAAATAAGTAAACGGAAGATATCAAAAATATTAGTAAATACTTTCATAACACAAAGTACCGATTTCTTTTAATAACCAAATATTTTATGTTGCTTTATGGATAATTTTTCAAGGACGTCTTACAAACGCAGCTATTTCAATTGATTGTGCAATAATCCATTTGTTTCCAAGTTTGTATTAAAATGTAAAAACAATTCTATTGTATATTTCAACCGGTACTTTTACAATGCAGTGAAAATTTTCATTGTAGGAACTTACTACCGTTTCATAAGCACAGCACACTTGCTGTGAATGATAATGTTCATATTTACAGATATTTTAGGAATGGATTTAAGCAGATTAAACTGTCCACTCATTCCTTACAATTGGTTTTGCGTCGAGGGAGTATAATCTTCAGTGTTGCAGCTTTCGGGTAATTTTTGCATGAGCGATACATTATCTTCAATTTGTGTGCGAGATGCAATCTTCGATGACGAAAAAAATGTTCTTTATAATTACTATACATCGTATCCTAATTAGTTATCAATCGTCATTTTTTACTAGTAGTATACATATATCCATCTTCAAAGTTGAAAAGTTTTAATGATTTGAAAGTCTTTCAATGATAAAAATAAGATATTATACTTTACAGTTGCATGCATTATATTTTCAATGTTGAACAATTCATCTATAAAAAAATATTGATAATTTCAGGTACAATAAGATCACAGTTTTCAGTTAAATGTTGGCAATTTAAAGCTACTGAAAATTTTAATTCAAATTGTTAGTAGTTCTGAATATATTATTCTCGAAGGAACTTTGTCTTCAAGAAATTCATAACTGCATGAACTTCGATATAGATCTTCGTGTGGCGTGAAAAAAAAGACTTTAAAATCTCGTACTATAAAATTAACATGGATTTCACATTTGAGCTTTCAGCTACACAGTTGTCTGAAATATTTCTACTTATACTCGGACTTTTGCATTTGATGAGATTTTGTAGACGTTGAAAACTTTCACATATTCAGTGAGATTTTTATACGAAATTTCATAATCTTAAATTATTTTAGTCTATAATATTCTAAAATAATCAAAATTAATGATAAAATACTTTTTTCAAGTCTTCGTGATAAAAATACAACAAAATCTGATCAAAGTTGCATAAAATTTAAAAAAGTCTCATTATTTTCCAAAAGCTTTTTAGATATCGATGGATAACGATGGTGAATTTTTAGAAGGAAAACTTTTGAAAAATTGTATAGACTTTTACGTGAGTAGTTCTTTACTAATGCAAATGAAGCTACTTTTCATTCGCTGAAAGTTCAAATAAAATTAGTATTATGGTGAATAAGCATTATCAAATAATGTTTACCTTTTTTTATACTTCGGATAGCCACTTCAGGATCTGCTCTGGAATTTTTCAAAATAACATACATCAACGATAACGACTCCCAAGGATAATGAAATCGTTGCACTAGTCCGGCACTATACCCTAATAAAAGTTCTACTTGTTGCAAATCTGTAACAAAGAAGAATAAGAGAAAAAGAAATTATTCCCCGGCGTAAATGTCAACGATAGCGATGGTGCATTTGCCTCAGTAAGTCATAAATAACGACATAAAAGTATTTCAGATGGCATACTCTTGATCATTACAGCGAGGGCTAAATATAAATAATAGCTTTATCGAAGGCAGCATGTAAAAGCCGCAGCACAGTAATAGTTTTTATATCGATTGCAATATACGCATACGATAGGTGGGTACAATCCACCTACAGGTTTTTTCATAATGCAAATGGTAGGTAGGTAGTCAGGCTGCGCGTATATAAGTGAGATAAAGACAGAGCCAAGATTGCACCGCAACATTATACATGTACGAGCAGTGCATATAGTGTAAATACAGAGAGAGAGAGAGAAAGAGAGAGAGAGGGAGAGAGAGAGAGGGAGAGACCTACGTGGAGACAGCGAGAGCCAGTTCGCGGAGAGCCAATGGCATAAAGCCATTCAGGCTAGCGACCGCCTACTTCGCGAGAGCTTGTGTGGCGAACGCGTTTTTAAAACGGAAATGGCTACCACGAATAGACGACACGAAAGAAAAGGCGCAGAAGCGGGGAAGGGTGTATATATATGCGTGTGTGCGTGTATGCGTGTGAGTGCGCGTGTGCGCGCGCTTGTCATGCACTCGACGCCCCATTGACTCTTTCCAAGCAAGCAGGTGACAAAGTGCAATAAGTGGAGTTGCGCGTGAAAAGTTACATGAGGTTTGCCAAATGATAAAACAGGGTGGGACTGATATGCTGGCTGCCACAGACAGGCAAATGGTTCAGCGGACAGGGTGGAATTGAATTTAAACGGAAACTGCGATTACCGTAATCAAGTGAAATTAAATAAAATGTTTGAAGTTTGCAAATAACAGGATGCCGTCGAAGCACGCTTCAAAGTCGATTCGAAATAAGCCATAACTACAGAAAAAAACGGAACATAATGTTCATGGGGTCTTTTGTCTGCCTCTTGCATACATACAAACGGGCTGTATTATTGCTGATAATCGATATCGTCACGAAAGATCGCGCGAAGGATGCTCATTTGGTCCCTGCATCTTTAGCGAACAAGATGTATAATTGCGCAAAATTTTGCAAAGATGATCGACGTAGCGGCGAGAATATTGGGAAGAAGAGGAGAGAAAAAAGGGATTGGCGACCGCAAACATTGAATAGAAATATCATCTTGCACTCGTCTGTTTTTTTGAGCTTTCTTCCACACGAAAATGGAAGTTAACATGTGAATTTTTAGTATTTCACACATATTCATAAATTATACAGCCGATATTGTAGCTTTCTTTATTTTTTATTTTATCAGACGTATTTGAATAAAGACGCAACGTGTTGATCCGAATGAAAATTACCTATGTAAATGCCCGCAGGCTACAATTAGTTTCTAAAGAAAAGAGCAAAATGCGTTTTTACTAGCTAGGGCTGGCAAAAGAAAAAAAGAAATACATTAACGTATCCCCATATATTTAAGACCCGTATGTTAGAAAAGTGTTAGTCAATTATTCGTCTTGTCGAACAATAGAGTTGAAAGGTTTCGTCTTAATTTCTTTATTTGTAGAAACTTTCAGCTCGCGTGTGTTCGTCCATATGTTCGTTTTCTAAGATAAATAACATGCATATGCTGATAATTATAGATAATCTATTTTGCTGACAACTTTATTTCCATAACTCTACATGTAGAATTTCTCCTAACAATAGTTCTTCCAAATTCAGGCGTGAACTTTGTGACGTCTCTATATATGTTGTAGCTACTTTTGCGCGAAGCTTTCCTGTATACTAAAAACGAATCTCGATTGATGCAGGGACGTGAAACTGAAAGTTGATCAGTAGGAGATCTGTTTAATAAAGCGAACATTTTTTTGATAGTTGAGGAGCAATCACATTACAGTGGTTTCATTTTGATAATGATAAAGCTTCTTCCTGTCAACTCACCAAGCGCGAAACGAAATCGGATCGCTCACAAGCAGCCCCTCGACTTATGTATGTTTATGTGCGGGTGGTCATTCGCATCCTATAGACTTAATCACGCACAACGTACACTCTGGCATAATATTGTGGCTGCAGAAAAATTATTGTCGCGCGTGACTGTTATTTCTGAGAAAGTTTAATACGATCGAGCGGAAGTAGCGTATAAAGTACACTCTTGTAAACAGCCAACAAGTAATTTTGTTATCGTTCTCTCTGCATGATGGATTCGATTGAAACTCGTCATATATTTTTTAAAAAGAAAACCAAAGTGCCTGTGAAAATGCCACACCAGTGTCGGGTGCAAATCACTTCATTCAAAACACAAATATACACGTGGAGAGAGAGAGAGAAAGAGAGAGAGAGAGAGAGAGAGAGAGAGAGAGAGAGAGAGAGAGAGAGAGGATGTATCGAGTAGCTAGAGAGATATAAATAAATCCCGAGTGCCGTGAAAGCTTGACCAAAACGACTGAATAACCCTTGACTCTCACGCGTATGATCGCCAAAAGGTTCGCTTTGTAGATTTGATACTGTTGGTATTCGTCGATTTGAAATTGGATCTTACATATGCACAGAAACTCTTTTGATAACAAAGGTATACATCACAATTCACATAACGATCCAACTATTTATTTTGTTCCGTTGATGACAAATGGCGTTAAAGAAAGGAATATAAATCTGAAAAGTCACCTCGTTTTTGCTTATAAAACTGTAAATGAGGGAGCCTATACAGTGGTATCAACCACTTCTTAGACGCTGTAGTAGCAGCAGCAGTAGTAGCGAACTGTGTAGTTCACCATTCGCCTCGCAATGGTCGTAAAATTGTGACCCTAGCGCAGCGTTGCTACGCAACTTTCCGAAAGGGAGAGACAGAGCGGCGAAGCGTTTATACGTATTAAACTCGGTGTACCATGAGTAATATGTTGAGGACAAACATTTTGGAAGACGTCGTAAAAAGTGCTGCAGGAGCCGAAAATTTGGATATCCACAGAGAAAACAATCGTGGCCCTTTTTTCCCAGAGAAGGAAGATGATACCACGTCAGCGGATGAGCAAATGCTGATTTATGACTCATTTTAACGTTTAATTTTTCGGAAATATCATTCTATCCAACAAGAAAAATCTTTTTTTCTTGTTGAATAAAGCCAAAGTCGTAAAAACGATGCGTTTAGAGGATCAAACGTCGAATAGAATAGTCATTCTATAGTGGACAAAGATTTTTCTTTATCCCACTGAAATTCATGTAGATGCCAAGATTTTTATGTTTTATCAATACTTATTTTTTCGAAGAACATTGTCTTTTTTATTTTCCGTAAATACATTTTTGTATCTTCGAAGCCCATATGAAATTTTTACAACAAACAGAAAACTTGAAGTAAATAGCTCTCCGTATTCAATGCATTTACGCTGTAGATACCGAGAATATCGCACTTCAATATTAAACCGTCAGTGTCTCAATTTTTAGTTTTAAAAAAAATTGTAATGCATTATGAAAACTGATTCCTCTTTAACTTTACGTTACTTTAAAAATAATTGCAACTATAATTTAATGCCGACGAAAGATTACCACGAAATTAATGATATGATTGGTGCATGTGATGAGGGAATAATTTAGAAAATACTTTGACGTTACAATTTCAGATTCCAGCAGAAAAGTATGCATGTGTAATTTCTTAAAGTTCCCAATAAATTGACACTCATTGTCCCTGTCATCTAGGGTCTCACTCTCGGCTCAACTCTCACTCCGCCACTTTTCCCATTTTTATGACTTCTCAAAGTCCACTCCCAAATCTGCTAAACAGATGGTGAACAAAGCATACGTGATCTGTTCCTTCTTTGAACTGAAAACTAGATCCTAACTGCGAGAAAACTCGTAAACAATTAATACTCTCACCCTGTCTACTCTTTACACTACTTTTGGCCGATATCAAAAAGACTGAAGTTCTATATTCAATCTAAATCTTTTCGGACGTTATAAATGAATTATATACTAAAAAATTGAAGCATAAATACCCTTTTGAAATACTCAAAAGTTCCATTAAAAAATTACGAGGTAAAATGTTATTAATAAATTACTTCCTACCAACATTTTCAAGTATTTGTTGAATTCTTGAAATTGTTATCCACGTTTAATTAGCTGGAATCTGAACTATGAGTATTTAATTTAAAATATAGTAAAATTGGATCATTTAATTATCTATATATCTTTTCAAGGTTTTACAATTACACGCATTTTATTTTCATCTTTAATTAAATCAAGAAAGAAGTCATTTTCAAATAAACATAAAATAATAAAAAAATAGCACCATTTAATTTCAACTTAACCGACATTTGCAAAGGATCGTTAATTCGCGAAAGATTTTATATAACCACTTTTTTTATCAACGAGGCATAAAATCGATTTAACAATATTAATAAACGAATCCCATGTAAAATAAGCGTTCATCTGAATAATGTACTAAACCTACACAGATCAAGTACGAAGAGAATTAGTTCTTTCTTTTTTTTAGCACCCAATTTATACCGAGACGGAACATAGGTATACATACGCGCATTGCAAAGCGTTTTGGGAAAAGCGAGCAAAGTAAAGAACAGTCAACGTTTTTCAAACGAGTTTGATCGTAAAAACTAAAAGACATTGTGTGTGTATGTGTGTGTGTGTGTGTGAGGGGAGGAAAAGCAAGACAGAGAAATCGCCTAGGCTTTGGCTTAGGTTATAAGTTCGTATTATATTAGCCAGCGTGGAATAGTCTCTCGACCAATGACGAAGATCGTAAAAGCGGATTTAACATTCGGCCAGGTTGTCAAGTGAAAGAGTGGCTTAAATTTCGTTGCATGCGGAGATCACTGCGTGTATGTGGTATGCGCATGAGACGATGTGTGAGAATTCATGTGAGTTGCTTGAGCTTGACTGTGTTTATTGCGTTGCGCTGATTTTCGATCCTTTTTACATTGTATACGATTTGCCTTTCTCCTTTTTGACACACATGCGCGCGCGCGATATCGTCTTTTTCAGAATATATGTATATGTATGTATCTGTTGAAAACGTTCGCTCCCTCAAATAACACCTATGAAAAAATTAATAGATTGAATTGTCTAACATTATTATCTTTATCTGTTTTCTAAAATTATTAAAGACTTTAAAAAATCTTCAATAATTAAGTAGTTTAACGTTACTTTATGGGATAATTATTTTGTGAGAATTCATTAAACATTAATAGGAAATTATTGACAAAAAAAAACAAATTTTTCAAGTCTACTGTAAGACGAACTCTTTGCTTCCAATAATCATAACTTTCAAGAAAGTGAACTAATTTCATAGGCAAGTGACATAAGAAAAATTACTGTCTACCGCGAATTATTCTTATAGACATTGCATGTTGATCGTGCGTGCCATACGCCACGATTACGGTCGAGTACAAAGATTTTTATTAAAGTGCCTTTTGTCACCTTTAGCTATGCTTCATTTTAGATAAACATGTTATCCTTTCAAAGCACAATACAACAATTCTTATCACTGCACTCGCGTAGAATATGCATAAAGTCATAAAGTACGAAAGACATTTTTTCAAACATGTGCACCATTTAATATTAAATAAATATACTTGTAATATTAAAATTGAAGTTTAAAGTGTAAACATTCCTTGCCGATAAATAATTCATACTGTGTTATTAAATAAAAATGGAATAAGTCAGAAAGACTTTCTATGTACTGTTTTTTATTCTAAAAGGAAATCTTCCCAGATAGGAAAATATGACAAACAATGAACAGTGTGGGTATTCATAAAGTGCATAGTGTCATTTCATTGGAAGATCAAATGGTAGCAATTATTGACATTCTTGATTTAGAGTTTTTGATGAAAAGCAAGAATAGAAATGATTGTATTCGAAAGCTACGACGGAGGTAATCTTAATATTTGTGCCGTTAACTTCATTATCCTAATTACCCTACGTATAATGTGATGATGCATCTCTTTGTGTAAAACACTCCTGTGTACCACGGCTATATGTACTATTAAGAAGTGTAAATATTTCATTTATAAGCTATTATTTGTGAAATATTAATTCAATTAAAGGCATAGTAAATAATAACAAATATAATTTTAAATTTCAGTTTTGCAAACTTCATTGATTTTCTCACTCTTGTCTAAATTTTTTTACATGTCATATTTATAACTATATAAATTATAACTTACTCGAAATATATTAATGAAAAAAGTATTGTTAGCAGTTTACTAAGATTCTTAAATGTAAACAATATTTTAAATTAGAATTTAACAACAATGTTATAATAAAGCAAGATAGATGTTATTAAGCTAGCAAGGCAAATATAAGGGCTTGAGAAAAAATATTAGCATAATTCATTACTTTTATTTGCTAATTTGTTATCAAAAAAATTTTATATTCAAATTTTAAGCTAATGAGGCATGCGTTATCATTTGATCTGTATTAGATTGGAATATCATTTTATCATTTAGTATATTGAAATAAGTTTAGGAACATAATGCATCAGTTGTACTGCAGCGTAGAGTGAAAATATGAAAGTAGTATTTAAAAATCGTCGGGATCGCTGTCGTGACAATGATTTTTGTCTTGTATTTAAGAGCTTTTCAATTAAACATAGTTATATTCGGCAGCGTCGATCTTCATAAAGTTTCACTACCCGTTGAAAAAGCCAAAATAATTTAATTATTTGCCATACATAGCCTACAAAAATAAATGTTTGCCCATGAGCTTTTTGTTTTATTTGAAACGTGTCAGCAACGAGAAAAATGAAAAACACATGCCATTCGGAACATTGGTTAATATAATATGTTTTCAACTAATAAATATTGAATTCATATATATTCTTATAGGGCTTCAGAATTCCGAAACAAAAGAATTTTCAATATCAATTTTCATTTGAATTTCAACAATCTATTTTGTCGGATCCAACGAATAAACATTCTTTCTCTATTATAACTATTAAGGAACGTAAAAAATAGATAATACAAAGAGAGATAAAAAATGCAAAACTCACTTGATTCGGTTTCGAGAAAAGGTGCGCTAGGTGAGGTAGTATGCGGCAGCAGGGGTGGCAAGTTTTCAGACAGAGAGGGTACGTTGCTGACCACGGGCTCCAGTAGGGTCCTGCATGAGCCGCTATTACAGCTACGGTTACTGAGCCCAGGCAATATGTCACTCGTATGATTTCCAAGACTTGGCAAATCACTGTTATTACTATCGTTGATGTCCTTCTCTATTGTCAGCGTCAAAGATTCATCAGGATCTTCATCTTGGTTCACTTTTTGATTTTTTCGCATCTCCCTCAGCTGTAAATAAAAAAAATCATATTCACCATGAAGTCTATAGATATTCTCTCCGCTTAAAAAATAAGCGAAGGGCTTAATGTATTTTTTCAGTTTTATTATTTCATTAGTCGTGAAATTATCGATTGTCAGTATATATATATACTACAAAACAACCCTTTTTACTGCGCGCGTCGAGTCTTTATGCAAATTGTATGTTATCAAGCGTCCTTATACTCGTGAACTTTTGTACTACAAAGTTTCAAACGGTAATTTGAATTAGTACTGCCAACTGTAAAAATTACCCTTATCGTCCGGCATTATAGGTAGGCTTGTATTTGTGACTTTGTTTTAAATAAATCATTTGTTGCAACTTGAATTGCCAACGACTGTATCGTGCGTAAGAGCACCTTCGTGATAGAATATTTTGCTATATTAAAAGTTACCGACTTAGGGAGGAGTCTGAACTCCGAAATTTTGTACTAACGCGGAACAAGGATAATTATACAACATAGGTAACTTAATTGAAGAAAAATATGCAATTAAAAAGCTTCAATTATGTTTGTAGCTGGAATTCGATGATGGATCGGATTATTTGTCTCACCATGTCAATACGTTCTCGTTCTCTCCTCTTGGCCGTTTGCACCTTAGTGATCAGTTGCCTATTAGTGGTACGTATGCACCTCTGGCAAACGCAATCTCGAAATTTGCATTCATGTTTGTGAAATTTAACCGCAACTTTCTTGCCGTGATTTTGGCATCGCGTGCACTTTGGTATGCTCTTCTTGGATTTGCCTTTCTTCATACCTATCGTATCGTCCATCGTTGACTCCAAGTGGCTCAACAGTATGTCGTCAAACCCCATCGCCTCGTCTAACTTTTACGCTAAACTTAATGTCACCTTGGTCTTAATGACATACCTCTGTTGTTGCTCCCGGCTCTCACTACGACTACACGCAATGTGCACTCCCTTGTAACACAGAACAACCGACCGCACAGCCCCTAACTGTTCTACCGGTTATGCATCGTTGTTTCCTTTTACTTATTTTTCTTTCTTTATTTTTCTTCTCTCGTTGTTCTGTCGACGCTCAAATTTCTGCTTTTGTTTTTATTAATTCGATGCTCACCACTGATAATATCTTAGTTGTAGCTGTTGATTATATTGACGTTCCTGGAAACAAACGTAATCTCAATTGTTGTTTGACAATGAAAATAAGAACGCTTAAAAATTAAATTTTAGATCTATCGCGTATATGATGTCGATACTATATAGCTGCTTAATGAGTGCTGAATGCGACATAAGATACTACCACGCATTCATAATTTTAGAACAATATAGTGTGGTATTCGTGTTCCTTTACTACAACAGAATAAGAATCGATCGTCGCACCGCAGTCAATAGTCTAAATCTGGAACGTGCGAGCGCGCAAGTATCGTCCTTTCTAATGTAGCGTTATTGTTTTTGCAATTACAATACATTTTATTACATAATAATACAGAACTATAAGTAGATTAATTAAAAAATTTTCGAATTTTATTAGACTGGATAAAGACAATATTGACATAATGTCAATGAACGGTGTAGTTTATAAGATAAATTGTGCAAATTGTGATAAATCACATATTGTTCAAACAAGCAGGCAGACAGTCAAAAAAAGAAAAAGAATTAATTAACACGAATGTAGTGTTAATAATAGAGATACCACTTCTGTATCGTCTGAACATGTAATAAATAATAAACATGTCATCGATTTTGAAATTGTATGACACAGAAAAGCAAAAATACAAACGTAACTTTTCAGAGATGCTACACAGTTACAATATTAAAGACAATATGAATCAGAAATTGGATACAATAAAGATAAAGAATTGATATAAAATCAATATAAAATCACTGTAGACGTCATTGAAAAAACCTTGAATAATCGAATATCAAAAAAAAAAAAAAAAGCAAATTTGCGCTGTCTGAGACCAGGCAGAAACCGAAAAGGTAACACGACAGCATGTTCGGTGATTTCTATAAACGCTCCAACTTTTTCATTTAAGTATCGTTTGCGATGTCGCGAAACTTCCTATTGTGGAAAGTGCAACATCTAGGAGAAGCCTTTGATTGCTATTGCGCTTGGGAGATGGAATTACTGATTTATTACCTTTTAACGTACGTTCACTTTACTGTTTATCAAGATTCAGTTGTTATCGCAACCCTTTTATTTCACAGTCATGTAAAAGTATTAAATTCCTCGCTTACAGTTGCAAACTTGCAATTGTTGGAAGTGACAATACACAAAAGTGGATAACAAATTTATTTAACTTTGGTTATGATCTGTCGCCTTGCTATGTAAAATTTGAATCGTGACGTTGAAAATTTTTATAGTAAACAAATCTATCAAATTATTAAACTCTGTGTTCATTGTTTTTTTTTGCATAAGTAAAAGAAATAACTCAGTAACCCGATAAAGGAAATTAATTACATTTCCGATAGATCACATTTCTGAACAAAGCTATATCGTTTAAAAGCGATCTGTGCTAGTAGAGAACTAATTTCTGAAAAGTACGTAAGTACAATATTGTACGTGAACAGTTCGAAAATGTACTAACACAAACAAATACTTAACATTAAGAATATACTTTTGCTTCGTCTTTCTCTTTTTTGTCACGATTTGAAATATTATTCAGTGTATTAAGAGAAGTAATATGTTTGATGTTGAGGTAATAAAAAATGATAATTTTTATACGAATCGAGAGATAATCTCAACCTGATTTTTGCGTGCCTGATACGAGAATTTTTGCCATAAACTAGATATTGTAAAAGAAAAAATAATATTCGCGATAAATTAGAATGAATGGCACTTGTGTCATAGTGGCGTTCTCTAGAACAATAAATTATAATAAAATATCAAGAAGTCGTGCGAAGTTATATCGGGATTGGTCACGAGCGCGGGCACGAAAAGTTCATCCTACATTAGGTGATAAGATTGAGAAGACTGTTTGCATATATTTTAGATAACAGTTATCGAGTGCTGATATATTCGCTGATTGGAAACAAAGTATCGCATTGTGTATTGGCCGGATCAACTTGCTTGCCCCCGAGACTTTATAATATGATTGAATTCACGCAAAAGACTGTATATCGCTTAATATATAAATAACGTGTGTCATATCTATTTAGATCTCTTCGTTTTTTCGCTCTCTTTTCTGTTATATTCTATTCTCTGCTGTGGGCCATGTCACGCTGAGCGACGGGAATAAAATGACAAACGCATATTTGATGTTCAATGTTTTGAAAATTTTATAAACCTTTTTCGATAGAAATTAGTGAGGCGCGACACTGACAATTGATTAATTCACTTCAATTAAAAATTCGTGGTAAATGAGCCGACGGTTACTATTACTATTTTAACTGATAATAGATTTTTATTGTTCTATGTGCCATTAGCTGTGAATTAGGATATTGCTTCTTTTGGATCATTATACTCTTCATTCAGATATTCCATTCATAAATTATAATATTCGTTGAATAATATCTCTCTAACATTGTTATAAAATATTATTTTGAATTGGAAACCTAATAAAAAAAACCTATGAAAACCTCAATATACGAAATTCCACAGTGTAGATAAGTAGACACACGAGAGAAATGTCTACTAACGCAATTATGATCAATCTCATCTGTTCGGCGTTGAACAGTTCGTCGGCTCAAGTACTGTTTCGTACTAATATGCGCGCGCGCACGCGCGTGTGTGTAATGCACATCTAGCGACTTTATATAATTTTTAGGAATTTGAAGGAAAGTGCAAAAAAGACGATATTGCGCAAACGCAAACGTTCGGCACGAGGTCACAAACAGAAAGAGAGAAAGAGAAAGAGAGAGAGAGAGAGCGAGATATCCACACGGTATATGTGCGTTTCACGAATCGGTTTGCAAGCGACGAGCCGATGATAATTATTATTGCCGCGAGGCGAATCTTGAAATCGAACTGTAAAATATGTTGCTCGTACTCTACTACATTCTACAACCAAGCATATACTTGACATCTATACCGTGTCCCATTCAATTAATCTAGCCAAGCTACATAGTGGAAAAAAATAATTATCGTATTGAGTATTAGCGTAAGAAAAGAAAAAAGTACGTATTACACGAACGAATCGGCAGTGCGGTAAAAAAAAAAAGAAAAAAAATTATTGTTTCGTGCAAACGTGTGGTGGCGGTCGAGCATGTGGTTCGAAGGGCCTTTGAATAATTAACAAGTACTAAGAAAACAGGTCGGTAACATTGTAATAAACAACACAGAGTACTTATATCGGAGGGAGCGCAAGTTCAGGGAGAGACCTATCTACGGCTGATGCGGCCTGCACCCGCAAGTGATGTACGTATAGCCAACTTACAAGCGCGTGTGTGTTTCTACGAGTGTGCAGTACAGTATAAAACAGTTTAGCAGCAGCGAAAGACGCGAATATTCTTCACGGATGATAAAGCCGATCAATATCGAGAACTACTGAGCTGTATATAAGTAGGCTCGACTGTTTGAATCAGTCTTTTTGACACGTGTGTAAGTGTGTGTGTATTAAAACGACCATGAAACCTTTTTTTCTGCTCGTTTTTTTTTTCCTTTTTGGATATTGAGCATTATTAAGTATAAAATTCTTTTTGAAAGCGTTTGATCATCGAGATATATTATCATGCATTGCATTGCATTGCAAACAAATACAAGTTGAAATTGTATGGATTCAAGAGTTGACGACGATGTTTTCATAGCCCGTGTGACCTCAATCTAGAAGAGACACAGTAGAGTTACGACAAATACGCCGAACACGCACACTTGGAAAATATTTCCCTCTTACACATTATTCTCGCACTTGTCATACACTCGCCTATAATACGTAATCATTAAAAAATAGCCAGTTCACGCACGTCTCAAGGAGTGTAATAACAACCGGTGCCAATTTCATCTCGCGCGTTTAAAGGTTCGCTTCACACGAATATCACCACTACTATCGATATTATCATCCGATGCACCGTAACGATCATCTCTCCTTTGCGTGAACAATATACCAAACACAATGGAACAAAGTCTGTTCTACATAGTATACACCGGCTCACCTGTTACAGTTGCATAAAAACCTCTACGCACGTGACGCGAGAACACGTATGCATCTTTCTTCGCAAGACCGGAAATACATGCCTTCTGCTGTAGCCAATTAGTTTGTGTGTGTGTGTGTGTGTGATAAACTGAAATATAAACTTTTCTTTCGTACACGTATCACAGCAAAATGGTCCACACTTGTAGATCAGTTGTCAAAGCACAAGATAGAGTCTTACGTATTATTTTCTCGTCGCACGCACGCGAGGCATCAGCCGTGACAGAGAATGAAGCAAGCGCAAGCGAAGTTCACTAGCATGCAGTCGGTAACTTACTGATAGCATAGCACTGGCACGCCGACCAAACGCATGCCACTACCGCTAGCAAAACGAGCGTCAAGGAGTGGGGACAGCGACAAGTAGTAGCGCTCTCTTACTCGCTCGCTTGCGGTAGTAAGAGGGAGGGAACGACTGTGTGCGCGACGGACGAAGAGGGATGGATCCGTTATACGTATGTATACGCATATCCAAGTGTGTATAGTCGTACACTACGGCACTCTTGCCAAGTAAAAAAAGCACACAAGGTGTCGTGCGCACTTTTGTGTGCTATGAACCGGCTGCTCGTGCCCGAAAAGCCGTGGGAGGTATGAATATCATAAGGGAGATAATGATCGGAGATCCGATTTGGTAGCTTTTGAAATGGTTTATTTTTTTCTTTTTGGTCTATTCCTGTTTGCGTGAAAGAATTTATTATAATTGAATTTGTATTTTTCCTTTTCGAAGTTACGGTTCTGGACCGGTCCCCCTATATATTTCACATGTTTAATTTTTTTATACAATTTCAGTCAATTATTGTTCCTTGAAGTAGCAATCAGTAGAATTTGTATTGTACAATATGTTTGAAAAATCATTTTTTCATCAATTTTACTTGTAATGATCAAAGATAAGCATGTTCATTGTATTAAAATGTCTTGGAAATTAATAATCATAAAAATTTATTTCGTTGCTTACAGATTTCTTAAAAGATTTGATAAAAAAAACACCTGAGAGCGTTAACGTAAACTCGAGCAATGAATGAAAAAGTGCAAAAATTATTGGAAAACAATCAATACAATTATATAGCTTAGTTTACCCGACCAGTACATGTAGATAATGGAAAAGATAGATATATTTAGTCGCGTAAGAGGGGTAGCAATAAAAGGAGATGCAACACACTGGTAAACCTCTTGATTCTTGTGTGTTGCTGCCCGGTGTCTATATTTTTTACTCATTGTATTTATGACATGCCAGTACATTCGTCTGTTCCTTTCTCCATTGCACCTTTACTTGCTGTCTTTCGTCCGTTTCTCGTCTTTCTTTTATCTCTTTGTTTTATATCGTTTGTACTGCTCGTGAAAGTGTATTGTCTCGCCGTACGTTTTCCTTTATTAGTGTGTGCACGTTGGTATCTTCTGTTTCTGTTTCTCTTCCCTTCCCTTCCCTTCCCTTTTCTGTCTGTCTGTCTGTCTGTCTCTCTCTCTCTCTCTCTCTCTCTCTCTCTCTCTCTCTCTCTCTCTCTCTCTCTATATCTATCTTCCTCTTGCTACTTATATCTGCGGTGAGACTCGCACGCCAAGCGCACAGGTTGCCTGATGGTAATTGAATCGAGAGGTGGGGGAGAGAGAGCGCGCGCAACGTATGCCTGTGCGAGTATTATTATGTATTCAAAATCGCGCGCACGACGACAAAGTGTGTATGAATTCAAAGCCATTATTAATGTGCGGGTGCATGCTATATAATACTCTGGCTTTATTGAGACGTCAACGCTTCTTGCTACAGTTCAAACGTCCACGTCTGTGGGAATCTGGATGTGGAATTTTAATGAATTTACGCGAGAAAAAGGTGTTACCTTAACAAATTTTATATAATTATTTTTCACCTTCGCGAAAAATAATATTATGAAATCGAAAGATTATATTGAACGACAAAACAGAAAACAACGTTAAAAATATTGTTAAACTCGTGAAAAGTAAATTTCATACCATAAATGCGGTTATGCGGTGCTATAAACCCGTACGCCAGTCTAATGAATTCTAATTGATTTATTTTCATATCAACAATATTCCATTACGTGATGTGCTTTACATATGTTGTTTCGGTAGAGTTGAACAACCCCCATGAACTTGTGTACGCACGTACTTCTAAAATAGATCATAAAAAAAGCCCTGCGGGGTCAATTACAAAGTATACTAGTATCTTCTTAAGTCTTTCGTATGAATGGTGTATTCACAGAAACGGGACGCAAAAGGGTGCGTTTGAAGAGGCCAAGGCAGAATGGATTCAAATCCATACATCCTTTTATTAACGGCATTTATTATATACGTGCTCATACAGATTAATTACAAATTCTGATTGACATACATAAAGAATTATTCTGCAAGCTTTTATCGAGAAGGTCCGTGAATGAGAAATTGAATTAAAACAGTCAAAATCACCGTTCATCAAAACATATTTTCATCATGGTCATATACCAATATGAGCATTATCGCATTATCGTTAATTATCTTTAACGAAGAAAATTGTAATACCGTACATGCTTTGGCATGTATTTTATTTGCAAAGTAATCAAATCAGTTTTTTTCTATCCCAGGGTGATATTCTCCGATTGAATACACGAATTTCGGCCCTTATTCATAAGATTTCTATTTCAGGATACTGAAAATCAAAATAAAAACAATTGAAAAAATATTTATAAATACATGAAAAATGCGAACTTTTTCAAATTTGATCGAATGGATAAAGCTAATTTTTATATTAATTTTAATAAAAGAAGAAAAACATCGTTAGCAGAAAAATTGGTCACTTACTTTAATTCGACGAAGCGTTAATAATAATTTCCTTGCTGCGCTCGTCAAAATAAAACAGAAAGCGAAGGTTCGAATTGAAAATACGGCAGGATATTAAAACAAGCAACACGTCATATCTTGAATTCAAAGTTGGAGCTCGAATAATTACATTCGGCTCTTGCAGCATGCGAGAGGTACTTCCTTGGCGCGTTTATGATCTTGTCTTTATCGTTTCTCTCTTTCCTCCCTCTTCATCCCATCTTAATTTTCACGTCGATGCGGATCCTCCTCGTCGTCGTCGTCGAAATCTCGTGCTAGCGTGCTCGTATAAAGCTGCATTCTAGGGTACGCTTTTGCCGATTATCATGCCGCTCGTTGCATTGTATATATATGACACACACACACGCCCCTCCTTTTATGTCTCCCTCTCACTCTCTCTCTCTCTCTCTCTCTCTCTCTCTCTCTCTCTCTCTCTCTCTCTCTCTCTCTCTCCCCGGCTCCTGTTTCCGTCTCCGTAGTCGTCGCATAAAATTCGTCCGAGAAACATAAAATTTTGCGGCGGCGCCGCGTGTGTGATTCGTCTACTGCTTTCTGCGAGCTCATAGCTCTGCGGCTCGATTGTCTGTGTTAAAAGACGCGCATATTCCTACATAGGAAGAGCCGTCGGTCACGACGGCTAAAGAAATCGGATAAATTAAAAATACACTTTTTCATAACTCATGACAAGTCTTATGATTTCTGCTTGACCTATTGTTCCCTTCGAACTGCGTGTGCTCGCTCAGACCCGTAGGTACAATAAAATGTTCAAAGTGCTCAGTGCTTTGTTTTGTTCCTTCCAAGTATGCGCTCGCTAGCGGCCGAGAGTTCGTAATGAGTTTCAAGAATACAATATGCTATAAAAAAATCTGTATTATCTCGGCAGTATGTTTAATATTTCAAGTAGAAAATAACAACTGATTATGTGAGCAAGATTTACAAAGAAAGGCGCACGGTGCGCACTCTTATTATAAAACCGGTATAACTTTGACGCTTTGCGTGTCGGTCGTGCATCGAACAGCGTATTCCAGGTAGCGCGTGCGTGTACGACCCAGCCAGAACTCAGTTGGCGCTCTGCGTAAAAACCTTACCGACGATATTTACTGCCAATAAAGAAATCGCCTTTTACAATTGACTTGCGAAATTCTTATTTTTTCATGCTTGCGTTGTTTCTTAATCCTCAAACCTCCGTGCAAAATTACAGCGGCCTCGGCGAAGAAGAGAGAGGGAGAAACAAAAATTATTTCGCCATGCGCTGACAAAGTTTAAAGGATCGTTATTCCGAAGACCCCTTCGTCGGCGCTGAGAGCGCATTTAAGTATCGTACGTGCGCCGATCGTAAAATCCGAACCCCGGAGCAAGCCCAAGCGCGCGAAAATACTACCGCTCCGCGCGTGCTATTTGGATCTCTCCCCACCTTCCCCTTTTAACTCGCTCCGAAGAGCTGCGCCTTTGCTCGTTCGGCGTCGAAATTCTCTTGATATAAAAAGCAATCGTTTGCCTTAGACGGGCGATTCGCGCGTTTCGTAGGACATCGACGCACGGCATTCAACGATCTTGCTCTTACCTGTGGTTTTTCTCATCTCGCAAAACATTGTCAGTTGGCTAAACCATTGTACCTCCGCAATAACTCATTTCCTCGCCAAAATTAGCATAATACGATAGATTCTGTCGTTTGCGGACAGACACTGCAGCTGCGAGATTTAATAATGATGCAAGAGCCAGAGAAAGGGACGTGTCCGAGTAAATGCAATCAATTTGAGGCTTTACCATGCAGTGTGTAGAAAGCGAGAGAGCGCTTTAATTTGACAGGCAAAAATAGCACCACGCCGCTATGGGTGACACGGCGACGCCAAGAGACAGTACTGGACTGCGAATTGAGGGGCAATCGTAAACGCGCCAAGTGGATATGTGCGTCCGCGTTATACAGGTAATGCAAGCTCTTATGTGGGTGGGTACTGTATATCCAAAAATACATTATACGCATATCTGCAGAATAAATTGTCAAACCTCTTTTTGTAAAATTTTGAATTGCCTTGTGAAATTTTTGTTCTGATTGGCACGTAGCATTGAACATTTATTAAATCTCCATCACTAATGAATAATATCATTTATGCATGCATTTCGAATTAGAAGACGAAAAATGTTCTATTCGCCTGTCACATTTTAATAATTACTTGTGTTAAGCTATTCATGAAAGACCATTTACGAAAGATCTCCGAGACGTAAAATGGAAGTCCGTAGTATCATCAGTTACCAAGCAATTCACTTCGAGGGCAAAGACGACGAACCAACCAAAGATGAGTAGCCTGCAACTACAGTAATAAGCTGCAATCTGCGAAAAATTCTGCAGGTTGGTGAACTGTGATTTCTTATAAAGCAAGGACCTAGACAGGTAAAACGTAGTGTCTTTCATGAATAAATTCAATTCTACTGTGGATCTCGCAAACTCATTTTCTTGACGGTGAAC